TGCGTTTCTGGTGGAGGACGGGCGACTCCGTATTAAACACTTCTGCTGCCTCGCAATGGTCATGGAGAGAAGTGAGGGCACGTTGGCATTGTTGAGGTTGGCATTGGAAGGTATTGGCGACTGAACACAAGTGGAATTACAGTGAGGGTAATGAGTGGTGTGATGAAGTTGATTGTACAGGATGGGTGAAGAGTTCAGTTCTGTCTCTCCTTCTCTATCGTTACTGCTGGCTCTCCTGACGATTTGCGGGGGCTCGGTCGAGGCAGCGCTGGAGAAGGGCAGGATCTGTAGTGGCCGCTGTGTGACGGTGGTGGGGTGAGAAGAGCCTTGCTGATCCCCACCTATGTGGTTGACATGGTTCCCAAAAAGGCTGCCATTACGCTGCACGGAGACACCAGAAATAAAGACTAAATATGACTGCTTAATAAATGAAACTAAACTCAGAACATACTCTTTTCTACCAGAGAGAACCAGTGACAGTATTAACAAAATATCCATTCTCAGATTTCCTGGAAAATTCAATGCAATGAAGTGAGTGACTTATTGAGATGTGTTGGAAGCATATCAGTCACAGAGTTAAGTGGCATTAAGAACAAAAACAACAAAGGACATTCGTAGGAATCGCATTAACACACTCCTGTGCACAGCAGGGGAATTTCTCTGGAAGTCTTACTCTGTAGATTTCCTCCTCTTCCTCTGCATTTTCATCTACTAGTCCTTCCTCCTGGAGGTCACACGATATGGCACGACGGATTTCTGGTCCAATGTCATGCAGCGTACGCAAGCCAGCCTGCAAAAAGGACGTGCGTCAAAGCAAACCTCATTAGTATTGTTGTTAACAAACATTTCGATGTTCTCATGCATGAAAATAAATCTTCCCGAACAAATGAACAAAACACCTGTTTAAAGATTGTCATCAATCTTTTAGAGTTTTTCGGATTTGACTGATGTTTGCAAAAGTCGGGAAGAAAGGCAAGAGCCACTGCACCCACGTCATAATAGACATGCTTTCTCTTCTTTTGTTAACACACTGTGTGCAAACAGGGTTTGGTTTTTCCAGATTTCCCAGGTTATTACCCCACTCCTGATTATGATATGTAGCCAAAGGTCTCATTGGAAAGTTCCACAGAACACCTGACTCAGTGACTTGTAGTAGGTAGTGATTATTGTTTATTCATGTGCCCGTAATGTGATGAGCACAAAGAAAGGCTTTTATTGCAAAAATGACTCAAAACTGACAGTTTGATAGTGCTCACCTTAATTCATTTGGATGAACTGCTCACTTAGACTCCATAAATTACTCACTGTGCACTGAATTGACTGACTGAAACGTTGCACTTTCCTCACCTGTAGAGCCAAGGTGGTATTCAGCCTCTCCCATGAGCGCCTTCCCACAAGACCTTGCTCCTTGCGCCTCTTGAACTTTCTGAAGTAGTCCTGTATCAGGAAGGTGGCATAGAACTTCCCCACTGTTACCTCGTCATCTGAGTGAGCAGACACACCAAAGCCTCCCAGGTCAACACCAAAACACCTCAACACCGAAAATCAGCTCATATCCATGCACTCAAGATTCAAAATACTCAGCCAGTTACTCCTACTGCTGCTATGTCACCAGCTCAGAGAACATTTAATGTGTCCTCACAACTAAAAAAAAAATCACAGTCATGAAGCACCACTACTGCAGCATGTTGGGAAAAGAGACAACATCTTGGAAATGAAACCAAATATTTTAGCTTTATTCCAAATGCCAAAAGAATACTGACCGATAATCCCAAAATGCCATAAATCCTCAATGCTTAACCAGGACACTGACCTTTCTGCCTAAGAAGCTCCAAGAGGTTAACAACTGCTGCATGCATGAGCACATTTTTTGAGCACATGAAAAATATGTCTTTTCTCTGGCCTATTACTAAGTACTGTCAGATTCACGGTAAACAAAGAAATAAAGATATAAACTCAGAACTGTTAATAATAGCGGAGTATCTGACTGTCTACCTCTGCAAAAGACGTTTGCTCTCAGAAAATCGTGTACAGCAAGATTAATCTTGATGACTGATAACATTTAAGCCTGCAGCTTGCATCTTGCTTCATCTCTAAAATGCACGAAGTTATGAAAGACTCCTGCAACACACAAAAAACCACAAATACACAAAAACCTCGCTCAAAAAAGTGAAGCACAATCTTCAAAAATGAAGTTTATATAACAGATTTCTAAAAAAACCCAAATAAGGACGCAGACGCATGTTTATTATCAATTCAAATAAACCAAAGCATTTATGCCTGCACATATTGTACAGTGACTGCAGACTTGATAAAATTTAAGCATCTATGATTTCAGAGACAGACAAGCACAAGTGTTTTATGTGTTAGACCAATGATATGATCTGTAGCAAGAAGCACATGCAAGAAAACAGCAGAGTAAAAGGTTTATAGAAGCAAGGGTAAGCTCTACAGATCTTCTATTAAGACACAAAACATAAACTTAGTTTAGCCAGAAGGGAAGCGATGACTGTACACACTGTCTGCCATGCAGGGAGGCTTATCGGCCTTGGCTCTAATTCTCTCAGATAAGTGGCTGTTGAAGCAGAACGGGGAGAGATGCTGGACAATAACAAAAAAAAGCCAGCTGAATCACTGTGTGCAAGAAACAAGTGGTTTTCTCTCGGTTTGTCACCACCTCTCCTTAACCCATTTTAACTGGAGGGGAACTGAGTAAACGTGACAAATGTTGTGGCCAATATTCCCTCCAGGAGTCCAAAGAGAGCGGTGACCTTTATGTGGTTATGATCCGTCTTTAGGAATCAGACTCGTTTCTCTACACACACGACACAGCCAGAGTTAAGCTGCACAGGGCTCTGTTCAGAAAGGACCAAAGATATAGAACCAAAAAAAGGTATTTTAAAAATGCTCATCTGTATTTGAAAATCAGAAACTGATGATCTGAGTAAATCTGGTAATGTCTGTGTGACAGACTGGTGATCCTGCCTCTACCTGGGACAGCTGGGATAGGCTCCAGGCTCCCCACGAGCCTGATTGGATAAGTAAGTAAGTAAATACATAGCCTCACCAATTTCATTTTCAAAAACATCTAACTCCTCGACAGGAAGGATCAAATCTTACTTAACAATTAAGTAAGATTTTTTCCCCCAGAAAAATCGCATTTGGGGATTTTTACGATTCACGTTTTTAAGGAACTCCTTGCCTTAATTCAAGTATTAGTTTGCTGAAAACGAATGAACTGATTTTACACGTGTGAGCGACATCTCAAAACCAATAATCCCTGACTCTTTTTGTTTTTCTTAAGAACAAAAGCATCCCGGTGTAAAGGGATCACAACTATGCCCACATGTGGATTCCCCTTCTGGACAGAGCCCGATGAAGTAAGTGAGGTATCAGTAGCTTCATGCCACCAGACTAAAACAGAACTGCTCCAAAGAGCTCAGGACGGCAGAAAGAGAAGAAAGGAAGGCCAGTGACTGAAAACAAAGGAAGCTGTAGAACAGAGAGGCTTGGCGAAAAAGAAAAGAGAGCGGTTAGCGAGCTAATGCACACAAAGACATGCAGTACAAGCATAGAAAACATGGAGACACACTGGAGCTGCTACGCTAGCACAACAATGTGAAAGTCTCTCACTTAGATTATAAAACTGACTCTCCAACAAACTGACTACTTTATGAGATGCTGTTTGAGTTATCGTTATACATCATTGTAGTTAACAGTGACACTTTTCAACTGAAAGGAATAAGGTGAGTTTCTGTGAAATACATAAGCTTAACTTCACAACAAATTAAAAGTTTTGTTGTAGTAAAGCAGCTGGTCTTGCAGTTTCAGAAAGGCAAAAACAGGATGATAAAGGCTTCCTGTGGGTTCGTTTTCACCTCCTGTTTTCTGTTTCATAAAGCTTATTCTTATCTGTACTTCACCTTGTCCTTTACACCTACTGATCTACATCACAAGGAACCCGTCTTGATTCTTTTGTTGACTTTAAAATTATTTTGGCTTCAGACGTACTTAGCATGCTTAGGCTTCCACTATTATTGTTTGGAAATATATAAAAAAAAGATATATATACATATAAGTATCCATCTGTAAAATTATTTTTATCATGTGAGCAAGAGAATGGAACAGACACATGAGAGAGACTGTCACTTGACGAAAGCAACGAAAGCAGTTTTGTCCCTGTGCATTTGTGTACAACGACCACTGACCGCCTGCAGGAGGCACCACTTGGTCCAGCAGCTTCATACTGGTCCTCTTCCAGATCTTCTTGATCACAGCTCTAAGCTCCTCATTGGCTTGCTCCAGGTTCCCTTTGAAAAGTGCAACCAAGGTTAAAAATAAGTAAGAGTATGAAGTCTGCTTTTCACACACAGTCATAACATACGTCAAAACATTTCTTACCATCATGAGTTATAATTAATGATTATGCTTTACTTTGGTGCTAAATTACCTTTTTTGTAATTAAAGGACCATGTTGGTTATGCAGTGGACTGCAGGAGGAACTACTACTTAAATATGATCTATAGCGCCCTCTTGTGTTAATTCTGGAAGGAACAACTGAGTTTGGGTGACAAAAATAAAAGTGGTTCAATAGTATATTCCTGTGTGAAGCTTTAAGTACCCACTTACTTTATTTGTTAAATATTCAAATGAAATGTGTTTTTTCCTTGTTTAATACTGATTTGCTGTACTATTTAATGCTGATATAAGACTTGATTCCCAGTGCATTTAAATCTGTCTCCTATTAACTTCACTGTGCTGCAGTGGTTTCTCTGGGCTGTAATCTTAAGCTGCTGCACATACAACAGGTCACTGATCCCATTAGCCTCACCTCTTAGTCCTCCTACTTAAAATGCCAAAATGTCATAACGCTTAAAAGGCAATCGACTGCATACTACACAACATGGCAGACAGCTCTAAAATGCTAAACCAATCTATAAGAAAGCAAACAATAAGTCTGCAGATCCAAAAGCGGCTAAAGGTGCACACTCACCTTCAGTCTTAATCTTGAGAGCAGTGCGGACCAAAGCAAACAGGGTGGCATTAAACATTACAGTTCCATCACTGTTCAGGGGCATGTTCATTGCCACCAGACGCTGTAAAATAATCCAAAACACAGATTAACACTGAGGCGCCTAATGTTAAATTAGTAATGTGAAAACTGCAAGTTTAATGAATGAGATATACAAAAGCTGCAACTTATTTTAGGTGATACAGTAAAAGAGTGGCAGTGTAGTGCATTATCTTCATTGCTATTGTATGGAAAGTTGTGGAAACCCACCTTACAGGCCACTCTGTGAGGGCAAAGTTTCCCAAAGCCCAGCGGGGGTTGGATCCTCCTCAGTAGAGTAACTACATCGAGATGCTTTATCCTGCCCCTGACAGCACATTCAGATTAAACGCATCACACCAAGCAAGCAGTCTCCACTACAGCCACAGGTCCTAATAAGTATGTACACTTTAGAGAATTTACAATTATAAAAAAATCACTATCATATTTAATGGAGTCATTTTTAACACTAGTATAGTGTACCATTTAAGAGATAAATAACAAGAGAAAATGCTTCAGACTACTCTTCACAACTGGTTCCAAGTACTAACTTTGCTTCTGGGTCGTATTCTGACCAGATCCTTTTAAACTCGTCCAAGTGGTGCGGCCCGAGAATGGACCAATCACGGGTCAGATAGTCAAAATTATCCATGATGACAGCAACAAACAGGTTTATGATCTGCAAGAAAAAAAAACATGCAACATTTTTTGTAACAGAAACTATGCACGGGACTGTGAAAACTCAGGTCTGCGTGTAAAAATTAGTCACTTTGAACACAGTCAGATGGCTGAAGCTTACCAGGAAAGCACAGAGCATGTAGAAGCTGATGAAGTAGATAATGGCAAAGCCACTGCCACAGGTCCTCTCCTCCCCAGGGTTGTAGTCTGACTCTGAATCGCACAGCTTGCCTGGCATGCAGGCTAGCATGATCTCCTGCCAGGCCTCGCCTGTAGCACACCTAACAGTGAACGAGGAACAACGTCAATACAGCTGCAGCCATACATAAAAAATAAAGATACATTTATTATGTACAAATACAGACTGACCTGAACAGCATCAAGACAGCTTGGGGAAAAGTTTGAAAGTTGTTGTTGCGGTTGATTTGTGTCCCATCTACCATTGCTATTTTCCCAAACACCTAAAAAAGAGAAGAAATATCCCATTAATGCCTAGATTCTCTCAAAGAAAGACATATACATATTGTGCAGGGTGTCTAACAGGTCCCAGCGTTTCATGTAACGATACCATTTCCTAACAAATTACCTGCATTCCAATTACAGCGTAGATGAAGAACAGCATGGCTATCAGGAGTGCGACATAGGGAAGAGCCTGAGGGAGGAAAAAAAAGAACTTGGACGCTGTTAAATCTGCAGTTTAACTTGAGCAGTGTCAAGTCATAACTGCTTCTATTTTATGCTGGTATTCTACGCAACAAAACATACCCCTATCAGCTTTTCGAGTGCGCCTGCTGCAAGCTCATTTCAACATACTTCTACTTCTGGTTGGTTTGGTTTTCATCACAACCCTAAGCAGTGTTAGTTATTTACTGTGGTGGAAAATATATTTCTCCAAGAATTAGCACCATACACCACAGTTTACGTTGCAAATCAAAAGACTGAGAGCACTCTGAAGGAATGTGCAGTGTTATGGTGTTTTGGTAAGACAAAGATCAAGGAATTGGACAAATAAAGAAGAAAAACATCATCCACATTTAAGTCAAACATATGAACTTATTTTGGAATTTTTAACTTGATGGGACAAAAGAGGTGAGTATATTTATTATACTGATAATACATTATAATAGGTTAATATATGTTTTCAGTTCAGTCTGTCTCCTTAATAAAAAATGGTTACGTGAGAGGAACTGACTGAGAACTTTATCTCATTAGATAATACAGATACTGGTTTACCTTAGGGGAAATGATTTGTAGTTGGAAAACAAAGGTGATAAATCATAGTATATTCAAATAAATGTTGCTGCATTAACTCAGCATGTTTAAAATGGTAATAATAACATACTGTGATAATATTGTATCATGAGGTCTTTGGTGAGTCCCTTCTCTCTGCTACAGTCTCACCTGGAAGGACTTGATGAAGGTCCACAGGAGAGTCCTGATTCCCTCACCCCTGCTCAGCAGTTTGACCAATCGCATCACCCTGAACAAGCGGAAGAAGGTGATGGAGATGCGAGC